GAACAAAAACCATGGCAATGTAATGATTTCGATCGAATCATGGAAGAGGTTCTTGAAAATCAATTAAAAGAATTAGAACGTGAAGAAGATGAACAATATAGATTATTGGAACTTTCACTTGACGAAAAGTTAAAACAACAGGAGTCAATGATTTCGCTTCATCTATTCTCGTCCGATTATTCGAAACAATTGCATGATATGGGAATCTTGATACAATTAGAAACAAAGAAAACAACAACGAGAGTATCAAAGCCTGTTAAACCATCTTGAAAAAACGAAACGACATGATACATCGAAACAATTAGAGAACAATTATCATTCATACAAAGAAGTAAATTGTCTCGAATACAAAGAAACGTTTCGTATTCTACTGCCTTTTTGTAGAAACTCTCGTTATCATGGCCTCCATTGAATTATCTAGCTCAGAGAAAAGAGCAATACTTTAGTTTATGTCAATATAAAGACAGTAAGAGATAAAAATAAAATTATGCTATTTCAAATTTTTGCTTACTATATCATACATAATTCTCTATCTCTTTCAGGGATCGAACGGAAACTGAAAATGTAAGAAAAACATGAAATGAGAACGAAGAAAATGATCCAGTTATTAAAATCCTATTTGAATCAATTGTACAAATATTTGCCACTTGATCATTTTCATTTAGCATTAATGAAATACTAAAATTTAGCATTGTGACAGCTTCTTACGCTCACAACCATACATCCACACCCATACCCTATTTCGACAAAAAATTCTCTTTCTTGGAGAATTTCTGATTCGCTACGGGTGCCATTTGAAAATTCTAGTTGCCTATGTGAAATATCGATATTATGCTACCTTTACACACTACTGTAAAATTTCTTTCTTACATTACTTCGGTAACAGATCAGAATTAACTTTGCTTCGACAAAATCCCCTGAAACTTTGCTTCCTTACGGGTGCCATTTCACAATCCTAGTTGCTTAGGTAAAATATCGATATCATGGTAGCTTTACACACCCACATCCACACTCTTTGTCTGAAAATTTATGCAGTGCTAAAACTACCTGAAGATTTTGACCCTTGAGAAAGGTCGAAACTATAGTCGTAGTTTCTTCAAATATGATAAACACCGACCGATTCTAAAGTATACTCACTTTTTTAGTACACAAAAGAACAACTTTTGTTTAAAGTTATATTGTACCTCTTTAAAGATTATTGCTCATGTTCACTGCAGTGTTATAATTCTATTATGTTTGTTATTTTTTTTAGATACTTATTAAATTCTAGATTAACTCATTTACATACTTTCAGTAGAGTAAATCATGGCAAGATCATCAAACAATTTCAAAACAAATTCCTATGACAATGACAATTTTGATGTGAATCAAGTAAGACGCACTTTTTCATGCCCTACATATAATTTTGTACCAATATTTATTTGATAGTGTGGAAATTTTCATTTGTCTGCTACGGCAATATTTAATGATCTTGATGCATGTGATAATAATCATATTAATAATGACGATGATGAAGATGCCAATCATCTAGTAAAACAAGATTGTGACTTAGATAATATTTATGCTAGAGAACGAGTCGTCGACGACAATGAATTAGATACGGATAGTGATGCCGAAGATCATAACAAGATGGAAATAGAAGATGTCATATCCACAGATATATTGAGAAAGTCTCCAAGAGGCAACAAAATCAAAGTAGAATCTAGTTGCTTCATCTTTTTCATTTGTGAATTTGTTTTGTCTTTTGTAGCCGACCGAAGAACATGTTCTATCACAGAAATTGAGTCAACTGTCAACCTCCCGGCAAAAACAATCAGAAATAGAGTCGAAAAAGAAGCAATCAAAAAAGATGAAACCAGACCAATCAAGAGAAACGCCGAAGTATCTTACCAAAAGTAATAAATCATTTGAAAAAATGATTAATTCAATCTTATCTACCAACACAATGACAGCGGTAGCATCATCATCCGACAACTTAGAAAAATATCGACAAATAGCTATTTTGATTCATCAAATCAAGTACATAGAGATTTTATATTCTCTTTGGAAAGTGTATTTACAATCGGGCTTAGGCCAATTAAAGTCCGATTTTTCTCGAAATGAATTAGGTCCACATGTATGGGTAAAGTCTGTTCAATCGATGGTCAAAATGGCTGTTCGTTCAGGTCTCGAAAAGCATGATGCATGTTTGACCTATGTGAAGAATCGTCTTGTCCAATTAGATAAATCTAAACAAGAATGTCATACTGATCTACAAGTTCAATTAAATCATTTATCTCATCAAGCAAACATAATTCAACCAGCAATAGATACATTTATCGAAGAAAATCTTCTTAGTCTACGAAAGAAAATTCAGCATAATATACAACTGGTTTACTTTGACTATGAAGAAGAAATCATAAAACACGAGTATCTTAAACAGAATCCGAATGATGCTCAAGTAAGTTAAAGAAAAATTCTATTTCAAACAAAGTATCTTAGTTGTTTCTGTTTCTCCTACTAGATAAAATTAGCAGAAGAACTCTGTACTGCTAAACAACAAGAAATACTGAGCAAATATACATCCGAACTTCTCGATAAACAACTTATTCATTATAATGATTCATACAATCTAGAACGTTTACCTATTGCTCGCGTTCCTTTATTTGATTCGATTGGTAACGCCAATGTTCAACAACAATTCTATTCACATTATAAACAAATTATTGAACAAACAAAGGAAGATATGCTTAATCTCTACACACAGTCAGCTAGAACTCAAAAGATCCGTTATCAAAATGGATATAATGATAAAATGAAAAAAATTAGAGAAGAACAATATTTACTTCCAGATGAGCAAAAATTAACTACAAAAATGATTGAAATAATCGAACAACATGCCCGTCTTATTGAAAAACGACTCAAATCTATTCACTATTTTAAACTTGAAAAACTTTCTATTCAATCATAAACATGAAACTATTTCCTTATTCTTTTATCTTAATTCTTATTCTCATTGTTCTTTTGTGATTTAATTGAAGATCTCTTACTTACATGTCTGGGTTTGTCATTTGTTTTTAGATTTTGATATTCAATTTTATTTTTAAAACATGAATGTCAATGCATCCAATCAACTGCCGTCACAATCTCGGCCGAGCATCAATCAACCATTACAACAGGCAACTGCAGAAGAAAAATGCAAAAAACGTCATGGTAATAAAAAATTGCAGCGTTTCCGTCGCAGAAAACGCGCTCGCGGTTTTAGTGAAGAAAAAATAAGGAAAATGATTCAATCAGGGAAATATGTGAAGAAACAGAAAAGATCGAAAAATGTCACTACTACAACGAAAGCTCCTTCTCCAACAGAAATTTTAGTCACATCAGAACCGAAAACAGTAAGTGCTAATTTATAACAAATGAGAGTGTAATAAATTACAAAATATTTACTCTTGTATTTCTAGAAAAAACAAGAAATTCACAACAATCAGGAAAAATCTACTAGTTTTGCAAAGAAACGTAAAAGAGATATTTCTTCATTTGAACTTCATCGTCATTTGGTACCATCGACGAGTAACATAAATCTTCGTCCACCAGCACCTAAAAAAATGAAAAAAGTCATGTTCATCCAATCAATACCATCTGATAGTATTAGTGTGAATAAGAATTATCCGTAAGTCATCGTTTATCTTTTTCATTTCGTAAATAATTTAGTTAAGCTATAATATATTCTGACGATCTACCAGATTACCAGCGTATTTAACTCATTCACCATATTTAATCTTTCAAGCCTTACGGCAAGAATTTAATAGTGCAATAAATAAAAAAGTTGAACGAATATTTCTTCATGTACGCTTACAATTATTCGATCGTCAATATCGTCTCGAGCTTGATCAACGTTTATGGCAATCGTACTTAGATATTGGCCTCCAAGAAAAATTATGGCCTGTAAGTTATTTATTATAAGAATAACTTTAAATGTCAATTACATTTTCATTTACTAATATGTATTTTTGTTTCAGCGTTCATTGTATGAAATTACCAAGACTGATCAAGTAGATCTATGTGAAAATTATATTATGATACAATTAGCTATGATCGATGATCAATTAGAGCAATGTAATATGGAATTGGCTAGACAAGCGCAATCAACGATATCAATTCTATTACCAACACTCGATATTATCGATGCAAGTTTAAAAAATTATGTTTCCTTACAACAAAATTATTTAGTCGAACGCATGCAACATAAAATAATGAAATTAAAGGATGAGCTTTGTGATGAACAACTCTATCGAGATTTATTTTCTTACAATTTCAATACTGTTCAACGACAAATCATTGAACAGATCATTCATGTACGAACGACACAATTGCAAATTTACGAAGAATTTATGATGCTTGAACAACGTATTCTACATCAGTTTCTACCACCAAACTTTGATCAATTTGAAAAGATTACAGCTCCTGATATATATTGGCCATCGATTGCTGATCAGACACTTGTCGATATACGAACAAAACGTCGTACAAACTTGAAACGAGGAAAACGTAATTTACTCAATCTTTTTTATGCTGTCTATGAATATAAAATCAATGAATATCAAGTACACTATAAAGAAAATTTCAATCAATTAGAATTACAAAAATTCTCTACTACGATTCAAATCAATGGCATGTCTCTAATCGACTATTTCAAAGCTTATATGATACATCGTACTCAAACAACTATTGGTAATATATTTCAAAAATTCAATCACTTTCGACAGATCATTGCTCAACGTTATCAACGAGCATCAGCTGCCAAGACAATGGTTGGTGTGTCACCTGAAGTGATTGTTGATGTTCTTCATTGTCCTTATAAATCTGACGAATTATCTCACGTATCCTTAGGTAAGTATATCAAGACATATCTATGATTCTTATTCTCGATTGATAATTTTATCTACGATTACATTTCATAGGTCCAAACTATGCTCGTCCTAATCCAAGTGCTCTTCGTAAGTTGAAACATCGTGAAACTCAAATAGGACATCATCTGAAAGATATCACTGAGAAAGTTAAAAATCAAGTAAAGAACTACTGCAAAAGAGACGTACCAGTCCCAAGAATGACACGTTATTCTGAATTAGTTGAAAATTTACTTCGACAACATTATATGACTCCATTATCCTATGTTGATCGCATGCGCGCTGCACGAGAATTCAAATTAGTTAAATCTATTCGACGAAAGGCACAACATGCGAAACTTATTATACGTGTCTGCGATAAAGGTGGTGGTTTTCATATTGGTAGTAAAAGTGATTATGAAAGAAAAGCAGCTAAATATCGTGAAGATACAAAAGCCTATCAAGAATTATCATACAATCCATTGAAGGAAATATTCACTAATGTAACAAATGCACTCGATATTCTCAAGAATAATAAGCAATTACCACTCAAGGAATACAATCGTCTAATGCCAAAACCGGATCAAGTCAAATTATCTTACATGTATTTTAATCCAAAACCGCACAAAGTGAATAACTCTTTTTCCTTTTTTTTACAAAACGATTATCACAGTAAATATGTCATTTTATTTCTCATGTAGGAAGGAACACCATTGAGACCAATACTAAATACCATTAAATCAGTTACAAGATCTATATCTGATTTCTTAAATGAATTGATTCGACCTATTTATGATCAATATAATAAAGAGAATACAATTATTGATGGTGTGAATCTTATCAAACGTCTCGAAAAATATGCTGCTGATGGTCATCTTAAATCATCAACTCTTTTCTGTACTTTTGATATCACTAACTTATATACCATGCTGCCACAAGATGAATCCATTCGAATTCTAGGTGACTTTCTTCATACATATGTTGGTAAAAGAGTTAAAAATATCTCGGTTGAGACTATTCAAAAATTGACCGAAATTGTTTTGAAAGAAAATGCTTTTGTCTACGATCATAAATTCTACAAACAGATTATTGGTGGTGCAATGGGTTCGCCATTTACATTAACTTTAGCCAATATATTTATGTGGCATTGGGAACAACGCTGGATTCGACGACAAAATAGTAAGAAAGAAATCTATGGCCGGTATGTGAGATCTTAATATTTTTAAATATATATTCTGCTATTTCTATTCATTATCTTAGATATATTGATGATGTTTTCTTTACATCGAACGAATCCATTGAAATAGTTCAACAATTATTACAGGATGCCAATGGATGGCATCCAAATATTAAACTGGAATTTAATGTTGGACAGTGTTTCATTTTTGGATGTACTCTTGACTAATAATAATGGCACACTTCATACGTCTGTTTATCATAAACCATCAGCTGAACCATATGTTGTTCCATTTCTTTCGGATCATCCACGATATACATTTCCAAATATTATACAAACAGCACTTGTTCGAGCGATTCGCTATTCATCGACATTCGAAGCCTTTAATAATGAAAGACGTGCTGTCCGATTGATGTTATTATTTAACGGGTAAGACTTTTACTTCTATGAGAATAGATTTAGTTTCATGTGTGTTCATGTTACCATTTTCTAGTTATCCGACCAGATATATAGATAGAGAATTTCGAAAAATCCTAGGAAACTACATATCAACAAATTCAATTCTACCAACAGTTGACAATGACGAAAAATTTATTCAATTACGCAAAGAATATATGAATCAACCAACTGCTCGATCTTCTCAAGTCGAAGCACGTATCACACAATTCAATGAAAACAATGAAGAATCTCATATCGAACAACCTGTTCAAACAACAATAGCAACAACAACGGACACGAAAAAATCAAAAAAGAACACTTTTCGTGACGCAGTGATTATACATTATACACATGAAAAACGATTTACGACGATGAAAAAAGATATGCATAAAATCTTTCGTGAAGCTTTTGAAGGTTATGGTTTAGAAGCTGTTAGACTTATTGTTGGATATCGAAATCATCCAAATTTTGAACGTGAATTAACACGTAAACGACCACCTCTCAAATATCTTACATTAAAACAACAGAAAAGTAAGAATTGTCGTTACGAATAGATTCAAATGTTCTCTACTATACTTAGAACTATTATAATACCTATTTCTCTTATATGTTCTAGAATCGACATCAGAGACAGAACCAAATCCATTACATGACGCCGAATAAAAACGAAGAACCATGATGCTCATAACATATTGACAATTTAATCAGCATGAACCATATTTACTGTTTTCTTTCTTAGTTATATCACTTTCTTTTAGTTTTTGTGCTCTTTTTTTTTCGGTACTACTGCCTTTAGCACATCGACATTGTATGAATAGAATACTCTGCACATCTGACGATACACTATCAATATTTAGAATCATATATATATGAAAAAATCTGTATCATTTTAGATAATATTTCAGTTTCTACTGTCATCATCATCTGTCTACAACGCATTGGAATACTGCAGCCTATGTTTTAATCTTTCTTCTCCACAAACTTCATTTGGACATGTTCCACATAGTCAGCTGCTGTTCTGGAAATTCGGTAGTTTGTCTCCGAGATTCGTTTTCATATACTACATATATACTCTTCAATACACTCGGCAATCTCCTTCTGCTTTGTATTCATCTATGTTCTCATTTATATTTTAGATACTTAAATACTATAGACAATTGTTATTAAATTCAACTGACTCAAATCGCTGAACTAACCAATGACTCCATAGATACAGGAGACTTAGAAATCGCTGACGATTTGAAAGAAGAAAGTGACGAGTTATTTCCTGCATTAAACTGGCCCGAGAACGAAATGAATGAAAACGATTTATCCTTGTCTGAAGACGAAGATGACAAAGACTATGAAATAAGTCATCATCACAAAGAAACAAAAGCTTTGAAAAATGACGACTGGTCTACGTTTCCAAATTTTGTTTTATCTCTCAAGAATCAATTAACCAATCCGTATGCTCGTCGAGAAGCTTACTCTTATGAAGAAAAATATTTGGTCCTTCGTGATCAATGAAAGAAAAACAATCTTATCCTACAACCAGTTCAAAAGAGTACTGGATATTATTTAGATTCGTATGAAATTTTTTCGGAAAACGTAAAGCAATTCATGTAACAAACCGACATCTACTCATTGGTTTCCAAAGTAAATTATTTTCAAAACGGTGCAACTCCAGATTATGCAACTAAAACAGTTAAACGAATAGAAAGAACATCGCAAAATTTATATCGAACAAAATCTATCATTGAAAATTAATACATGAAGATAAAGCTAGATAAGAGATTGGTGCGAAAGAATTATTTACACTTCGCCCCGGAAACGCCTTAAGTACACTTCATGTCTCGTCGATTTTTTAAATTTAGTTAAGTTTTTTTTTCTCACTTGGTACTTAGAGTAAAGAGAACTACTTCGACCGATCATGGTTTCCAATGCTGGACCGACATTGGGTATGAGCCGTTTTCTTCCTTTTCATTTCAATCAGCTGTTTAATTAGGCAAGCTTTTCTCAAACAACTCGAAAAAAAGACGAACTCACATATATTTTCGAATTCTATCACAAAAAAAAGCTCCATTTCCAGAAACAACAATTTCACCACATTCGAAACTAATAACTCATGCATATGATCATTCGTTTTACATCAACTATTCCATTTCACAAAATACACCAAGACTCATTTAGTTTCGAATTCTTTGAAATTCGTTACGAGAGCCATTTGACAATC